ATTTGCTACATCAAATTTTTTTATATTTTTTTGTGTGTGTAATAAGTATTGTTACATAGCCAATACCCGCATGTTTGCTGCGCCTTCAAACACCTTTCGAACTGTAACACAATGACTCAATTCTATTCTACGCATATCTATAACAGGGATATCGAATTTCAAGCAAATCGGACCATTAACAAGAGTTTTTGGAATAGATCGGTCCCTGGTCCACCTATCAGCTAAAAGTATCCTATATGTTAATTGCTGCAATAAGCTACCTACATGCCAAATTTCAAGCAAGTCGCATCATAAATAAGATTTTTTCCAATAGATCGGTATCTGGTCCACCTATCAGAAAAAATATCCTATATGTTAACCCAGACAATAAGCTACCTACGTGCCGCATTTCAAGCAAGTCTCACCATAAATAAGATTTTTTTCCAATAGATCGGTATCTGGTCCACCTATCAGAAAAAAATATCCTAAATGTTGACCCAGACAATAAGCTATCTACGTGCCATATATCAAGTAAATTGGACCATAAATAAAACTTTTTCGAATAGATCGGTCCCTGGCCCACTTAACGGAAAATATGTATCCTATATACTAATCTAGGCAAAAGGCTACCTACGTACCAAATGAATTATTTAGCGTAGCTCGACCCCTGCGCTACCTATCGGAAAAATTAAAACTTTGTGCACTCCTCCTTCTAAACACCTTTCAAAAAAAGCAGCAACCATTCGAATCGGTTATGAAACATAGGAGAAAGTTGTTCCCAATTGATTCTTGCTCACAATGAACTTCACAATTATCTGAAATTTTCCAAGCTTCACAACGAATTTTTCACCCTTACATCGTCCAAACTTTATCATGTGATAAAATACAAATTTCGTCGAAAAAAAATTCAAATTGTTCGCTTTCTGGCGGATTTTTCCGAGTTTCCCACTTAGAATTTTCTATTTTTCTATTCGAAAGCCATTCCGAAGGAATCGCACACAAAATTCCGTACAAAAAAATCAATTATTGATTTTTCCAATTTCCGACTTTTCTGGAGGGGTTTCCCAAATTTTCTTTCGTAAAAACCTTCTCCTGGCAATTACGAACAACTAAAAAAAAATTGCAAAATCGGTCCAACCGTTTTCAATTGATGAATTACTAACCATTTTTCACACCATTTTGATATATGTATATAGATTAGACACCATTCAGAAAAAAATTTCGCTTTCAGTAATCTCCACGTGGTAAGTGCTCCTCTATTATTTGCTTTCATAGGGATTCCGATACCTTCCTCATTAAAGTTGTAAAGAAAATTCGCTTAAGTGCTTTTTTCGCTTAAGTGCAAAAGTTTTTCGTGCAAAGACTGTGTTTATACACAGAAACTTCAGTCGACGCGATTTTTCACATTCCCTTTTGGTGTTGTTCGTTTCATTTACACACGGCGATTTGTGTGTATGCAATTGTCTATTGTCAGCTGTGAACAGCGGTTCAATTTACACAGACGAACGAGAGCACAAAGCGTGTTGCCCGAGCACGAGCAACTCGGTGCCCCTCTCGTCCTCGTCTCTCCAACAAACGTCTAGTTGCGGCAACAAAAATCGCCGTGTGTAAATGAGCAAAAAAGAAGGATGGGCAGCTAAGCAAAACATTCTGTACACAATTTGGCTCATCAGAAGATGTACGACTAGCATTTACAATTGTACCAAATATGGGCATTTTTTCTCCGTTTGGGCCTTTGGGACTTTTCGTTTGTTTTTGGCCTTTTTGAAGCAACTATGGCTATCCGTTCGTCTGGAGTTGACGAGAGCTATCCGTTTGTTTGAAATATGCAGCACTCGCTGCAACTGTTCTGTTTGTTATGTTAATTGTTAACGCCATACTGAAATTTCATTTGCATACAATTTCACAATATGTGGTACTATCTAAAATTAAATCTAATTTTAAACAAGTAAGAAAGTCTAAGTTCGGGCGGAGCCGAACATTA